TCGGTAGGGTTTATTGCAGGTGTCCTCGATCAAGTTGCAGAAGTTCCCTTATTTTTTTAATTTGCCAAGCACTTTTATCATGAGTGACTATTGGATTTTATCATAATTGCCTTTTGTATCTATTGAGAAGTTCATATGTTTTGTCTTTCGTTCTGTTAAAGATATACTGTCACTCGATTTAATCCCTTTTGGTCATGGTATGTAATTTTTTATGTTGATTCATTTCTATTGATGTATAAGGATTCTACATAGATTCTTATGATTAACAAAAATAGGGATGCTGCTGCTACCTTATAGTTGTGATAACACTCAAATGCAATAATGCACATGAAGTACTAGCATCATGTCTGACATGAATTGTGTTGACAATAAGAATCTTTATATTATTACCTCACATAAAGTAATAGGAAACATTTGTATAAAATAAATTGATTCCCTTCATACAACAGCTATATTACAGTCATGGGTGAAAAAAGAAAAGTAATTATAATAGTGGCTAACATTCATTGTTTGCTATCTCCCAGGTACTATTTTAAACACTTTGTATGTTTTAACTCAATCTTCCCAACAACCCTATAACCTATGCACCATCCTACATGAAGACACTAAGGGCTCTGTGACTTGCTCTAGTTATAAATAGTTAGAGAACTGGGATTTGAACACAAGTAATCTTGCTCCAGGGCCAAGTTCTTTACCACCATTTCATGTGCCATTCCTTGTGTGTTGTTCGAGCTAATGATGCATTTTCCTTTGCTTTGCTAGTCAAGGATATCAGAAGTGACTTTTGATCAGGTACAGTTCAAATGAGGGTTTGATGCAATAATTTTGCACTATGAAGTAGGCTTTCCTAGTGTCATGGTTTCCAAGATTCTTGTTTTACTGTAATCTGTAGCAAAAATGAATTTTTCATCACAACTCAGTAGCTGTTCTAATGAAACACACTATATTTAAAAACCAAAAATCATGTTACTGTAATGTGTTAATAGCATTTATCCTGTTATTCAAATGATTTTATTTCTTTTTAAAAATTCTTGTTACAATTAACCAAACTGCTTCATAATTCATTAATGAGCTATTTCACAATTTGAAAAGTGCTTCACTAGAGAATATGCTAGGTCTCTTCCAACCCTGAGTCAAATTCACTTCACAGCAGCTTTCATAAGACAGCTTCAACTATATAAGTGACTCCTTGAACTTGTTACCCTGCTTATTTCTAAAAGTCAAACCTGCACAATTTATATGAGACCCACCCAAAGCTTGTGTTTTAACTTTGATTTTATTCTTACTTTCTTTACTTCACTTATCAATTCATAGGTTTTTGCTCAATTTGTAGAATCTCTGTTTTAGGTAGCTTACAGAGTACTAAGGGTAAGAAAAAACAGACATGCATCCTTACGGCATATTGGGAAGAGGAGTTAATCTGAAGGCATACCAAAAGACATTTCCAAATTATGCTAAGTTCTGTGAATAAGATGTAACACTGCATGTAACAGTGGGACCTGATTATTGTGAAGTGTTATTTGGAGAAGTAACTAAAGCCGAGACTTCAAAGATGAACACAGCAGAACCAGGCAGTGGACAGTGCTGTGAAGCCAGGCATACGTTGGACCCGTTACAGGCTTCTGAGCCTGGAGGCCACTTGAACAACTAGTTGGGGAAGAAAGGAAATCTTCAAGATAAGGCTGGAAAGAAAAATAGGGCCAGACCAAATAGATTTCTATAGAACAGGGAAAGGCGATGAAGAGGTTTTAGAGGTTGGATAATATGATAAAACAGGTTAAAAAAAATAACTGCAGCAGAGTGGAGAATTGATTAGAGGTTCAAGATGAGATCTGAGAGAGAGGAGGGAGGGAGGAAGAGAGGGCAGGAAGGAGAGAGAAAGAAAGAGAGGTATATGCCCTTGCAGAAGTTAGTTGGTGGTCTTTTGTTATTCATTTTCTTTCTTACTGAGTACACTTCACAGTACATTTCACAGAGACTATGACCAAACTTGCTAATTTTAGAGCTATCAAGTAAGAAATGAGCCATGATATGGCATTCAAAAGAAAAGTTACAGAAGTACAACTCTTAGCTTATGTGATATATTGTTGAGGAACAAGGGAGTTGCTCTTTTATTTTAAAAATTGTATATGCACCAAATTGTATATGCTTACATATTTTTATTGAGTATAGTCCTTGCAAAGAAAATACTTATCTCTTTCTGAGTTTTAAGGATCTGAGATGGAGAGATTCAGATCTGATATGCTGAAGGAGAAATATGATTTTTAACAATCAAATTTGCCTCTATGGTTACAAAAATTAATATTTATACTAGCCAAGAAAAGCATGTTGGCTCTTGCCTCTGCCTCTTCTTTGATTAATAATCCCCTTGTGCAGTTGAACACTGTTGTTAACTTGTCACGACTGGCACCTTTGTCACTTTGTTCTCTGAATACAAATAGTTTAACCCACATCTCAGTAAAATGTTTGCTCATTTAGACTGAATTGAATGCAAACACTATTCCCCTTGGAGTTTAGTGAGTAATAGGAGAGGAGACCCCTGGTTTGCCCTGGACCTGGGAGCTCCTGATGATCAACCACACGGAGGAAATCAGATCCAGTGGGCATGCTGACCCAATCTGAGTAGGTTGATTCTGTTGCTACCTAGTTATGCTACAGTTAGCACTCTTTTTTCTTCTTCTTCTTTTGGTACTAAGCCCTTATTCATTTCACCATCCATACCCCATCTGCCACCCAGCCCCAAAAGATCTTGGTTACATCCTATACATAAACATCCTTTCTCTTATATTACCTGAGAGCAGCCTATGATGCAACAAGTTCCAGGCATGATTAGCTATTAACCAGTCCAAGGCTGCTTACTGAAAGACCTTGATGAACGTTAATGACTATACCTTGTATTGGTACAGTTAGGAGGATTGTGAATCAAATTGCATAGACCCAGAAATTAATCCTGGTGCCACCTAAACTGATAGCAGAGAGAGCCAGGTAGTCATTACATGCAGATAAAGCATGTGATTGCCTAAAAGTCAATAACAAGCACACATATCTCACATGTTTACAAAGCACTTCCTGTGGGTCTGTCTCTCTGAATTCCTCAAGACTTTAATTTCTGGCATCATCTTGTGAATCAGTCTTCATTGATAAAAAAAATTTTGTCTATTGAACAAATAAGCATTGGAGACTCTTAGTTTTCGTTAGACGTTAGACTATCACTGCTTCAGATTAATGCTTCACTGAATTTCTCACTTTTTTTTTTTGGTACCGGGAATAGAACTCAGGTCCTTGAGCCTGCAAGGCAGGCAGCGGAACCACTGAGCTAAATCCCCGGCCCCTGAATTTCTCACTTTTTAAATTTAATTCCCCTCCTTCTCCTTCAACACAGTGATAAACATAAAAAAGAAAACATACTGAGGAAGGTTGTCTTATCATTAATATTCTACACCTATTTCCTAAGCACAGAATTTGTCATTGGAAATTGGTATGCATTCTTTGTACTGCCCTCAGGCACTTATTTAATTCAAATAAAAGTGATCTCAGTGACCTTACATAAAAAGAAACATGTGAAAACAGTATTGATACTGAGAACTTTATTGTGACTAGAAATCATATCTGGGCTTTGAGCAAAACAAAATAAATCACTGCAACAGGAATGAGTTTTTACGGGAGGCTCTTTGCGCACAGCAGAGCTCAATTCTGCTCTCTGTGCTCATTTCCTCTGCCAATCCCTCAGCCCTTGCCCCTTCTACCAAGTCCGTGTCTGGTCACGTGTCCTGCTTGAAATCCTTCAGTGAGGCCCAAGGCCTACAGACTCGTGAATGGGCTCCACTTGTGGTACTCAGGCTCTGTCTTTCCCCCATATTCAAGCTCCCTCATTATACCTGTGGTTCCAGGAAATCCAGTTTCCTTTCCCATTCACAGGAGGTTCTCTTCAGTGTCTGTGCTTGAATACATGCTATTTTTTGCTTTCAGATGTCACTTTTACTCCTAGAGAACACTTTGTCTCTACCATATGTTAGGATTTTGACCTTGTGCAAGTCACTTAAACCATTCTGTGCCTTGATTTTCTCCTGTGTGATGCATTATGGGAGCCAACTGGGGGAAGGCCAACAGAGCCTGCCCCACCAAAGCCACTGGACAGAAACACCAGATGTTAGCTTTAGTTTGTAGTTACTGTTTTAACTACTGTCCTTCAAAATTTAGCTCAGGTTTCCTCTTTGGTGAGATGCTTTCCTTACTTCCCGATCCCCAACACTGAGTGTATTATTTCCTCTTACTGTTCACTTGCTTCTTTATTGCCCCTTTTATATCTTTGTCTTATTATTAATATGGGATATAAGTTTTTGAAATATTGGTTGAAAGTAAACTTACTAGTATGGAAAAAGGGATCTGAGTATGGTTCAAGGAGGCTTCAGAGTTCATATTTTACGGACCTCCAGCAACAGTATGGTTAAAATATGAACAATAAATGTATAAATGGGGTACTTCTTATTTCCTCAGCTTTATCACAGGGTGTTGGGTGAGATGAGAGCTTACTATACGCCAAGCCTGACAAGAAATATTGTACTCATCCCATTAATCCTTCACTATGATCCAATGTGGTAGATGTTTTTCTTATTCCTGTTTAGACATGAAGACACTGAGGGTCCAGGTCAGAGAGCTAGTGATAGACCATTTTCGCTCACAGAGATTAAGAGATTAAGCTAAATTCTTAGCTCAAGAACACCTGGCCCTGGTCTGTGAGGTCTCGTTTGCCTCTGGGACCCTGGTGTGTGTAAATCATTTGATGTTTCCTTTCCTTTCATTCGTTTTCTTTTTTGTGGTACTGGGGATCAAACCCAGGGCCTTGCACTAAGCTCCATCCTTAGCACTTTTTCGTTTATTTTGAGACAGAGTCTCACTATATTGCTAGGCTGGGTTCTGAGATGCGAGCCTCTTTCCTCAGCCTTCCAGAGTGCTGGGATTACAAGCATGTCATGTTTCTTTTTCTAATGTTACTCCAGGTATTCCTTCCAAGATGAAGAAGACATGTTCATGGTAGTGGACCTCCTACTCGGTGGAGACTTGCGTTATCACCTGCAGCAGAATGTCCACTTCCAGGAAGACACAGTGAAGCTCTTCATCTGTGAGCTGGCCATGGCCCTGGACTACCTGCAGAACCAGCGCATCATTCACAGGTCAGAGCCTAGAACTGAATGGGCAGGAGAGAGTCCATAACCTACTTCATTCAGCAAATCTTTGCTGAGCATGACATTTAATGCTCGTTTCATTCTTGCATCACTGACCTGAGGTAGGGTGACTATCCCCATTTTGCAGATTTTAAAAAAAGGCTGATCCCAGAGAAATTCTTTGGGGAGAAAATTTGAGTCTTCTAACATCTTCCTAGCTAATCTTGGTTGTGAACCTGACTGGATTAGAGACTGCTGGGTGCCGATTGTGAAGGCACTGACCTCATCAGTGAGTTAACCCAGTGCCGAATGGGCTGTTAGGAGCTGTTGAGACTGAGTTGGATGGGTGAGTCATTGACGCATGACCTTAGGAAATATATCTGGTCCCTGGCCCCTTCTTGAGGCTTTTCTTCTGCTGCTGTTTCCTGGCTGTCATGTGGTTAGCAGTTTTCCTCTGTTGTGCCCTTCTACCCTGATGTTTCTGACTTGGAGCCTCCGAACAGGGATTGATATCTCTGAAACTGTGAAGCAAAGTAAACTTCTCTAATTTATGGGTGTCAAGTATTTTGTCCCAGGAAATAGAAAGCTATGGAAAACTGACCCATACAGAGCTTAATCTGCCCAAGTTCACAGTAAGTGAGAGGAACAGAATCAATGACTATTGGTACATTTTTATAACGTAGCCTAGACAAAGAGGAGAAAGGGTGACATAGGAATGTAACTACTAAGTGGATTAATTGAAATAGAGATGGAGGAAGAACAGGAAGGGAAAGGAATAGGATGGGAAGAAAGAAATTCCTTGGAGAAAAAATGTGAGTCTTTCTAACATCTTCCTGTTACGCTATCATCTATATTAAATAAACCCTTGATGAAGCAGGACAAAACAATGTGTCTCCTGCACTTAGAGCATTTGTGGTACACAAATAATGTAAGAAGCTATACACCTATATGGGCAATAGAGAGAAAGAAATTAGGAATTTTAACGATAATTTCACATATAGCATATCATTTGATTTCTAAAATAACCTGTGATAAATGATAGAGAAGCTATTGTTTAGCTTTCCTCTACACAAATGACAGACTCACTGAGAGAGAAATAGGGCAAATAATTCCTTTCACAATAGCATCTAAAAAACTGAAATACCTAGGAACCAACCTAACGAAAGAAATCAAAGACCTCTTCTCTGAAAACTATGGCACTCTGAAAAGAGAGATTGAAGATGATATCAGAAAATGGACAGACATCCCCTGCTTCTGGGTAGGAAGGATTAATATAGTGAAAATGGCCATACTTCCAAAACTGCTATATAGATTCAATGCAATTCCAATTGAGTTCCCAGCAGCATACTTCATGGACCTTGAGAAAACAATCCAAAAATTCATTTGGAACAAGAAGAGACCCAGAATAGCAAAAGCAATTCTAGGTAACAGAGACATGGCAGGGGGTATCACAATCCCCAACCAGCAACTATACTACAAAGCTACTGTGATAAAAACAGCATGGTACTGGAAAAGAAACAGACTTGAGGACTAGTGGAACAGATTAGAAGATGCAGAAACAACACCAGACACACTCAGCCATCTCATCTTTGATAAAGGAGCCAAATACCCTCACTGGAGGAAGGATAGCCTCTTTAATAAATGGTGCTGGAAATATTGGGCTTCAAGTTGCTAAAGATTAAAACTAGACCTGTATCTCTCACTATGCACTAAACTAAAATCAAAATGGATTAAAGATCTAAATATTAAAATAGAAACTCTGAACCAGTTGGAACAGAGGTTAGGTAGACCCCTTGAAGACATCGGTGTAGGAAAAGATTTTATGAACAAAACCTCAGTTGCCCATGAACTAGCACAAACAATCAACAAGTGGGATCTCTTCTTATTAAAAGGCTTCTGCACAGCAAGAGAAACCACCAGCAGTGTGAAGAGACAACCCACAATGTGGGAAAAAATCTTCACCTGCTGTTCCCCAGACAAAGGTCTACTATCTCAAATCTATAAAGAACTTAAAAAGATCAGACCTCCCAAATTTAAAGACCCAATCCAAAAATGGGCATCTGAAATGAACAGACATTTCTCAGACAAAGAAGTAGAAATAACAAATAAATACATGAAAAAATGTTCAACATCACTGGTCATTCGAGAGATGCAAATGAAAACAATGCTGAGATTCCACTTCGCTCCAGAAAGAATGGCTGCTATCATGAAATCAACCAATAACAAATGCTGGTGGGGCTGTGGGGAAAGAGGAACCCTGCTCCACCACTGGTGGGAGTGTAGACTGGTGCAAGCACTGTGGAAATCCGTATGGAGATACCTCAGAGAACTAGGACTGGAAGTCCCATTTGACCCCGCTATTCCACTGCTGGGGATCTTCCCCAAAGAATTAAAAGAATCATACCACAGTGATATATGTGTGCTCATGTTCATAGCAGCACAGTTTGTAATAGCTAAAACTTGGAAACAGCCCAAATGCCCATCAACTGGAGACTGGATAAAGAAAATGTGGTTTTTTAATAAAATGGAGTACTACTCAGCCATAAAAAATGAGAAATTAGAGACATTTATAGCTAAGTGGATGCACATTGAGGTGATACTCTTAAGTGAAATAAATAGGACATACATGAATAAATACTGAATAGTTTCTCTGGTGTGAGAAACTGAAAGTTTAAATAAGAACTAAATGTATAATAGGTGATATGAAATAGGAAGAAAAGGGGCAAAGGGGAAGGAAGTGGGAGGGCTAGGGGAAAGGATAGAAGGGAATGGAATTAATATGAGAAAATGGAAAAATAGGAACAAAATCTTTGTAGATAGGGAGGAATGGAGGGGTTGAAGGGAGGGCTGGGCAAGGGTGAAAAATAACCAGGAGAAACTATGTAAAGGTGCAAATTTCCAATGATGAATGTCATTATATTGTATACCTAAAATGTACCAATGATTAGAATGAATAATCGATAATGTAAAATAGGAAGAAAAGGTCCAAAGAGGTAGGGGTAGTGGGAGGGTCATGGGAAAGGAAAGAAGGGAAAGGAAAAATGCTGATAAATGGAAAAAATGGAAATAAAGTCTTTGTAAATAGGGAAGGGTGGAGGGGGTGAAGGGAGGGCTAGGAATGGGGGAAAATAAGAACCAAGATGCATTATGTAAAGGTACAATTCCCAATGAGAATTGTAATTGGGTTGTATACCTACAATGTACCAATAAAAGGAGTTAATAAAAAAAAGAGAGAAGCTATTGTTAAACCAATATTAAATATGAAAAAACTATGGTTTGTAGATATTAAATTATGACACGGGTTTATTTGTAAGCATTGTGAACCTAATCACCATAAAGCAGCTACTGTTTATTGAGACTTATGTGCCATGCACTGCCAAGTACTTTACATTGTCTTAAGTTCTTAAACCTCAAAAATGACTCCACAATTCATTACAGTATTCCCATTACACAGATGAAGAAAGTGTGGTTCAAAGATTTGCCAAGGATAAACAGGTAATAAATGGTATTGCCAGGATTAAAATCTAGATCTCTCTGCCCCCAAGTCAGAGCTGTATTATATGAACTCACATTAGTTACACATGTAAAATATATGCATTAATGATGTCTTATTAAATAAAAATCGACATGTAACTCCACCACTGTCATCTCTTATCTTTGGAAGAATTTACTGAGGTTTTACATACAATTTTGTCTCATTTGATAAAAAATTGGCTAGATAAAATATTAGTCAACAGCCAGTTGACATTTATCTGTAATTTATCTGCATTTGTTCAGAGCCTTTGGATGAAAATGTAGCATAACAATGTATAGATTATGCACGTACCAGGAACCATTTTTTTTCTTATTCTTTTTTTTTTTCCTTTTTTTTTGGCCTTGACCCTGTAAATTTAAGTAGTTATTTAATTTTCCATCTTTGAAAGGGTCTATTTGTATTGGAGATATGCTCTTCAGGTAACAGTTAACTGGAAAGCAGGCCGGTTAATCATACAAGATCTCTGAAGTGAATTTACACACCTGGTGTTTTGTCAACAACTAGAAATCCTGTTTTCAAGCACTTTCTTCCATACTGCTTTCAGGTGTTTCACAGTTCTTTCTGAGAAGAAACTCCTCATATCTGTAGTCCAAGGAAACCCTGTCAAACATTCATACTCCCCAAAATTACCAATCCAAGCCAGTTTTGGTTGCTGACATCACAGATATTCGAAAAAGCAAACTTTGATAAGCCAGCATGGCCTAAGAAGACCTTCTAACTCTTCTTTATCCATTTTGAATTTATGCTTTCTTTTTTTAGGCTTTTTTTCCCCTCTTCCATCAAGTCAAGATGCTCTGAACATTTTTGTATTCTGCTTAGAACTGTATTCCAGGAGGAAAACAGAAACAAAAACAGTGATATAATTTTTACCCCCAAGGAGCTTACAAATACAAGAATACTATTTTTCTGACCTTCTCTCCCTCACTCTTTATTACTCACATCATCTTTTTGACACTTAAGTCAGAAATAAAGGATTAACTTCCTGTTACTGGTCCTTTACACATCCATAATTTTCACTTAGTGTTCATTTTCAGAGGGCCACTTTGTATTAAAATGTTTTCTTCCCGAGCTCCCTGCCTCCATCCCAGGCTTCTAGGGCAGAGAAGCTCAGCTGGTCCCAGCACCCGGAAGGAAGCTCCCCCGCTGCCATCCCAAGCTCCTAGGGCAGAGAAAATGAGCCACATGGGCACCAGAAGCAACCCCCCCCCCGTGGAAATGAGAAGACACATAAACAAGCCTCAAAAACAGACTTCCAGATCACCTACAGCAA